CAGTCTGGTTAGCTATGGGAGAGATTATGTGTTGAATGGAGTTTGGGGAACTTCTGTGGGTGGAGCTTTCTGTTCTACCTCCAGAGCATTCAGGGTTAGCCCTGGCTTCTGGTAACAGCCAATGATATCAGCAGAGGACTGCCAGCTGAGGAATCTACCTGAGCCACTGCACTGCAAGATAACTATCCCAGGAGACATTGGTTCCAGTGATGGTGTTATTGAGAAGAAATCCTGAGCCAACATGGTTCTTTTATCTGTATATAAATTAGTTGTTCACCTCCACCAAAATGATTAAAAGATATTTGTATAGCCTTGAATTAAAAAAGAGGAAGGCAGAAGGGAGACAAGATGGCACGTGCTTTCCAGGACATACTCAAGTGTTTTGTTCCCGTTTGTTTATTCCAGTGCTTGCTAAACTTTGGAGGCTGCCAAGCAGTGTCTTCAGTTCTCAAAAACAGTATTTTAGATGTCATAAATCATAGCTTTCAAATCTCAAAATAGCCGTAAACAAAGATGTAGTCTTGTCCTTCTACACCTGGTAGGAGGTGCCCAGCCTGCTCAGCCCTTGTTCTTCTTTTTCTTACCGTGCTGTGTGTGGAGTTGGTCTTGAACTGGCTGTAAAAGGCAAGGCTTGCTGGAGGCGAGAGAGTGGGGAGCAAGACTGAAGACAGCTCTGCAGATTTTCTGCCGCTGCTCCGTGATGTCCTGAAACTGTAGGACTAGATAATGGGGCAGCGTGATAAACCAAAGCCCACTCCTCTTCAAGATGTCCTCGGCGGGTGGTTGTCATTGTCTTCCTTTCACTGTGTGGACTGTTTGAGAGCCAGCCCAAGTCTGCTTTCTCAGTCGATTCAACCAGCTATGCAGTCTGAAGTCTTTATTCCCTTTGCCTGATTTTTTCTCATTTATTAGTGTTATTGCCCGTGTATACCCACCACTGATTTAGTCAGAACTTAACAAGTATTGTGTCTGACACCACCTTTCTTTACCATAGACTACAAAAAGCATTTCCAGTACCAGGCAACTCTTTTCCTGGTTTCCACTTTGCTGTTTCCTCCTACTCTGGAAGTCTTGATGCACCTGAGGGTCTCAGGCTGCCGTTCAGGCCAGCCCCTAGCGAGCCTCTAGCTTGAGAGATGTTTCTGCTGCATACATTGATCTGGGAGGCTCTTCTGAGGTCCTTGGCACCTTTGGCTCGACTCCTTCGTTCCATCACCATTTCCCTGAATGCCCTTAGAGCTCATGCATTTAGATCTGTGGAGTCACTTGTTACAGTGGCAAACCAAAACTGTGAGTGTTTTGCTTCTTTTGAGAACTATGGCCAAATTGAATGAATACTCTTAGCAGTACAGAAAAAGACCAAAGCAGGAGCCATACACAAGCAGCTCAGTGCATTGCTTGCATGTTGTAGCAACTCCAGGAAGCCTGAAGCAGAACCAGGATTTTGGCATTAACTTCGGTTGGTGTGTGTTGATGTAGAAAGGTGGGCAGCATGCTGTCCTAGGATTCAGTTATCCAAGTGAGTCATTCTTACCTGTTGTCTTTATGTGGCAGCTGAGATTGTTTTATTATTTTTTATTTGCAATATAATTAGTGAGGAGAAAGAATCAGGTTGCTTAGTCAATTTAAATGTAGCATATATGGTTTAACCACTGTGTGTGTTAGGTTTCTGTTACTGTAATGAAATATTTGTGATAATTGACTTATAAGAAAAAGGTTCATTTTGGCTCTTAGTTTCAGGGGTGTTGTTCTGAGTTGCCTAGGTTTGGGGGTAGGTGTGGCTTTGGTCCTCTAATGAGGCATCACATCATGGTGGGAGTGTATGACAGAACACACTGAACAGAAAGCTAAAAGGAGCCAGAGGCAGGGACCCAAAGCAACAGTATTCCCTTTAAGGGCATGCCCAAATGACCTGTAGCACCTCCTAGTACCACCATGTGCAGTCAAACCTTTCACATTCAACACCTAAACTATAGCATTGACAGAAGTTTTCTGTGATAGTTAATAGAAACTATATGTATAAAAGGCTTTTTAATGAATTTGAATTAACAATATAGTTAATTGTTCACCCCTTCCTTTTTTTTTTTTTTTTTGTTAAGTATAACTTTCAGAGTCTGGGACATTAACATGATGAGGCTACAGCCTAGCTATATAGGCCTGGAACTAACCATAGCTATCCTTTTAAGGTGGCTGTAAGGGAAAAAAAGTGATGATGATGATAATGACTACAGGATAGAGGCTGTAACATCTTTACTCTGTGGTTGCTTATGGAAATAGTTTGATTGTTTCTGGTCTGGCTTTAATGCTCTTTCTCAAAGAAGGCTAGCAGCAAGCATGGTATCTAGAGCAGATATATATATAAAATCTCCTTACCTAGCAGTGCATTCTTATCAGTCCTGACATCCTGACACAGACACACACATACTCCATTCTTGCTGACTCATTTAACAATGACATCTATGTAAGTGCATGTTCAGACACTGAGGCATTTTGAATTTTTTGATTGAAATGCAGTTTCATATTTTACTTAGCATGTTTTACTCAAGTTAAATGAAACGATGATACAGTTCCAGTGAAATAATAGACACTTTCCTAGAACCTCAATTTTTCTTTGGTGCTTTTATAATACCTTTTTGTTTCCTAAATTTAAACTTATGATGTTCAACTGCTGCACATATTTAAGTTTTTAATAGATTAGAAACAATAACAAACCTGTGATCATGTACCCAGTTGCTTATTGAGTTATTCTATTTAAAAATGTTTTCAGAGAAAATAAAAGGTCAAATGAACCAGACACTGGGTTATTTGGTTTAATTTTCTGGAAAATAGGATTGCCTTTATCAGATCCCAGTGTCTCTTAGTCCTCATGCTTGGCTGACAGCATGACAGTGGTTCTGCTGTGGTAGAGATAGGCTGGAGGAAGTTGCTTTGTCAGCAGAAAGGGCTGTAAACTGAGCTCAGGGAACCAGGTCACCTCATCTTGACCTGCTGATTGCTGATGGCTTATGTCAGCATCAGAAAATGTGGCTGCACAGTTTCCTTTAATGTTAATTTTGACTTAAGAGAATAACAATCGTTTGTAAAATGTGCTACCTTCCTGCTCAGGACAGGCCACGCATGGCCCTGCACAGTGAGCCACACACGTGTCGGTTCTGCTTTTGCATCCAACCTTGTCAGAGCATTGCAGCAGCCTGGAATGTGGTGTGGGCAGCTCTCCTCCCCTGGAGCAGCCTTTCCGTTCACCTTTGAATGCTTAGATGTAGGAACATTCTCTTCCATTTAACTTTACAAGTTGAATGTAAGTTTAAGCTTTGATCTGCAGGAGTATTCTGGGTCACTTCTACCATATAATTTAAGTTTGAGACAGTAAAGAAATCACTTTTTCTTTATTTCAAATCAGTGAAGACAATTAAAAATATGTAGTGATTATTCCTCTTCCATGTATTTGTTTTTCTTTTTATGAATGTGTTTGTTCAATTCAATACAGGAGCAGTCTGTCTGTTTTAGAATTTAAAACAAAACTGAGGTAGCATTACAGGAAAATGTAGTATTAAGGACAAAATTAGGATTAAAAACTAATTATAAGGAGCAGAAAAATAAATGTTCTCTGGAGTTGAGAACATATTTTTAAGTATTTGAACACTGGATTTAACTTTTGAGTTCTTTAAAAGACCAGTAGGTCAAAATGAGTTATATAGATCTCATAAAAGAAATAAACACATCCACATTTGCATGAAGCAGGCTTGTTTGATTGTTTGTGTAGTATAAATCTGGCACCTGTGCCTAGGTAATCAAGCAGAATCTGTAACAGACTCACCATTGGAATGTTAGTGAGTGCCTAATATTTAAGAGTGATGTTTATTTCACTATATTAGTTCTGAAAGACCACAGAGTGAAACATCTTGGATTTGGGTTTTCACTTGAGCAAATTGTGTGGAAAAGTAGAAATCTAGGCTGCTTCTGTCACTGTTTTGAGGAGAAACTTCTTTATTACAAGTGAATACAGTTCCCTAAGGCACAGTAAGTTTACTGGTGTCATTTTACAGACATGAAAACAGAAGCCTAGGTAGCAGGAGTTACTGATCAGACTGTGGGCAGCATGGGATGAGGTCTTAAGGCCTGGTACCAGCTGCCTGAGTTCATATCCCAAGTTTGCTCTGTGACCTTTCCAAACACGTTAATTGTGAGGAGCCACAGTTTTTCCTCCTTTCAAGAGAAATACTAGGATGTCATCACTGTCAGTGGGTGTTCCGTGCGCCTCAGAATGCAGTGTTAGTGCCCAGTCACAGGTTATCTAACGTGTGCTGTGCTGACTTCAGAGGTCACAGTTTTAAAATCTGAAATCATAGTCGTAGTCCCTTACCCAAAGAAGCCTGAGAACTGTTTTAAACCTTCCCTTTTCACTAGGTAGTAGCTTTAAACCTATATGACTAAGCGATTCATTCCCCAGTATTCTTTATCAGAGTCAAGGAATGTAAACAACACCCTGTTATCTGTCCAGAGTTGGTGCATTGATATGTGTTGTGAAATGTTCCCTTGGAACTTGCAGGAATTACTGTGAATATAAGAGGAGTACTATATATTCCCCATGTTATAGTCTGGAAATTAAATTTTTTGAGGTTGGTAGAATCCAAATGGTAGTCCTTCTATTTTACAAAGTAAAGCTGAGAAATAAGACTGTTTTCCTGTGACCACATTTGAAGATTGAGCTAAAGGCCTGAAATCCCACTTTTCCTTTTCCTCTTCTCTTTCACTGTGTCTTGAAGACCAGATGAGTGTGTGTTATGTACTGCTTGAATAATGTTAAGCTGTGAACCATGTAAATGGTGTCATCTGTGTTTGTTTGTCCATTCTAGAATATTGCATAGATATGTTCCTCTTGAGTGGTGAAAATAATAGAATAATTTGTAAAAATGGCTTTAAAATCTTATTTTGATGAAATATCTTTGTGTCCATTAAAGTAGCCCACATTTTAACTAGATTTGTTTGTTTCTTCCTAGCTATCCATCAAAAGCTAGAAGCAGATGGAACAGAAAAAGTGGAAGGATCCATGACACAGAAGTTGGAGAATGTCCTCAACAGTAAGTTTGCTCTGTTACCCGGGACTATGAATGGCCTTCATAGCAAACTGTAGAGCCGTTCTGAGGGATTTCCCAGGGCAGCGTCGGGAGTTGTGTTTCAGCATTCACTTCTCAATAAGGACTTAAGGAACCTGAAGGGCAGTGGAAAGAGGGAAATGAATCTGTTTATGTTTTACTGTAATGTGGTTATATTTCTCAAGAACTGTCATTTGCTCCCCTGAGACAGGGGCACTGAGACAGCAGCCAGGGTGAGCACTGAGCAGACACTGAGTCTTCATGGTGGGACGTGCCAGTGCGCAGTGCAGAGCCTCGGTTTCTGTACCAGGTTCCTGTGCCACAGCTGCCCATCTCCTTACACTTCGTGTTTCCCCACAAGGTTATACTCTGGAACATGTTGTAGAGGTTGTAGAACCCCACATTTGCTGTTCCCTCCATTTTCCCTTTTGTTCCTTTTCTGAAATTCCAAGCTGCTAGCCCTAATAACTTAGAAGGAACTCATCAGGTGGATTAATTCTTGTTGTAATAGAAGTGTTTTAAATGTATATCACACATGTAGTCCATGTGTAATCTGAAGCAATGATGTCCATAAAAATCTCCTTGAATATATGATTTTTATAAAGAAGGGACAAGAAAACCCAGGTAACCTCACATAGATGTTTAGAGATTTTTAAATGCAGGATTATGATACAAAGTTAATTTTGTATTTATAGTTGGTTTAGTACTTTGAGTAGAACATTCTGGGCCCTTATGTAATCATCTCTTCATAGACCTGTGATGTCAGTAAGAAAGTATTTTGTAGTAAGAATGCTAGCTCTGGTGTAGGCTTTCCTTGGTGTTGGAATTGGAATACTTGGACATTTCATTCTAGGCTTGTGGATTAAACAGGACTTCAAACCTTTCCCTTTGTTTATTACTCCTGTGCTTATTGTTTGCCTTGGGGTTTACTGTGCTTTTGCTTCTGAGACCAAGTCACAGACTTTGTTAAAATGAATATGTTCTGAATTTTACCCAAACAGATATTTACCAAAGCCCTTTCTGTGTCAGGGCTGCTAGATCCGTTCGAGCTTTGGAAGGGTATTTCCTCTCAAAGGGTGTTCTTTGCATCATTGGAGTTGTCATCATGCTACAGCGTTTGTACAAAAGAATGAGATGCCTTGAGTAACTTTAAAAGGTGATATAGCACAGTCACTGACATAGTTACTCCTACTGATTCCTAAAAATCACCTTGCTGTGTTTCATCTTGTGTATCTGTTGCCATGGTGCCTCAGAAGGCCTTCCTATACTGTGCTGTGCTTCTTTGGGTAGAAAGAATACTTGTCATTGGCTCAAATCCTGAGCTTTAGTCCTTGGCTCTATGAGCATTTAATGAGCACTCATTAGTATATATCACAGGAATATAAAGATAGAGCCTGTGCCTTGTGTCTAAGTATGTGTAAGTGCTTGGAAACCATAGGCATGTAAGCAGGTTATTGAATCATGCTGTGTTAGTATCAGCATCAATACATGTTTTACTGGTGATAATCTGGGAGTATATCTGGAACTCACACAAAGAGCACCTAACTGAAATGTAAGATATCTGGGTTGGAGTGTCTCAGTAGTATAACACTTGCCTCTCACAAGTCAGGCTCTGGGTTCCATCCCCAGCATAGTGCCTGTTTTCCCCTAGCCTCAACGTGGAGAATATGAAAATCATCACATGTACCCTGAAAGAGAAGTAGGATACAGCCAGATAGTTAAGCAGAGATGAACAGGTCCGCAGTGAAATAAGTAAGTACAGGTGTGTGTCCTGATTGGTCACCAGCGTAAAAGGGCAGTGGTTCTAGAAAGGGGATAGGCTGAGTCAGGAGTGATAAAGATGCCTGCTGTGCCCACCAAAGTTCTCCTTAGTGTAGAGTTAGTCTTGAAGATGGTGAGCCCCTAAAGGAGTGCAGTGAGGAAGCTATGTGATGGAGTGTTGAGGAGAGTAGCCTAGATGGTACCACTGTACATTCAAAAGGAGACCAGATCAAGGGCAGCAGTCATAGTGAGCTCAACAGATGAAATAGACTAGGAGCCCATGGCAGGGCAGAAATAAAGATGGCAGTATTGGATCATTGCTTGTATATGTGCAATAAAAAAGGGGAAATGGTTTGTGAGACATTTACATTTCTATCCTCAAATCAAGGAAAGGGGAGCTGGTTTAGGACACAAGGAGAGAGGAGAGGAAACAACTCTTTTCAGTTTATGTGTAACCTGAGACTGGGATTCCTGAGAGTTGATCACTGAATATCTTCCTGACTTTCACTACTTCCTTGTATTAAATAGGGCAAATGAGTTTTGAATGCTTTTGGAGTAGGAAATATATCAATACAGTCTTACCTAGAACTGGACCCAGCATGCAATCAAACTGATCCACCAGGCAGGATCTATACACTAGTGCAGCAGTGCAATGACTGCTATAGGGTAACCAGCCTCTCTGTGATCTTCAGACTCATGCCTGAAACTGCAAACTTGGTCTGAAGCCCATGGCTGGAAAGGCCTTAAAGCCTGCTGGGAAACTTATTTTCTTGTTTTGTTAAATGGTTTTGTTGTCAAAGTGCCTTCTAAATAAAGGTATGGAATGTTATCATGAACTCATAGTAGCTGTGGTTATCTGCACAGGACTTGCACAAGATGAAGCCAGTCAGAATTCCAGCATGGACTTGGGAGGGCTCATGAGGTTCCACCCTTAGCTGAGGTGATATCCCATTGACGCAGTTGATGGCTGCCGTAGGAGAGAGTCATTTTCTGCGAAGGTGTGGCCATTGGTAGGATTTTCATGCTTCAGTGGATGACCCCACACTTGTGTATATGGGCAGCACTAATTATACTCAGGGAGTTTAATAAAAAATGTACGAAGTTGATAGGTTAAAAATATTTGAAGTTGGGGGGAACATGTGTTAGAAGGATCTGGGTGGGCTAAAGGGGTGTAATGGTGGGTGTATATGACCACATTGTATACAAATATGAAATTCTCAAAAAAATAATTTAAAATATTTTAAAAAGTTTTGGGCAGATGAGGTGACTTGTAGGTCAGTTGCTTTTCCTGTGAAGTGAGGAGAAGCATTGTCTATCTTGGTGGTGTGAGCATGTGCCCAGTGGTGTGTGTGCTGCCTTTATAGTAGCATGCCCTGTGAAGCAAGCCTGTGAGCTGTCATTGTATGTCTAGTAAAGGTAGTCTAAAGATTTACTCTTAAGTTCATAGACACATCCCGAGATACAGAGTTGGGGCGATGAGACTGAGTGATGTAATCTAAGTAGTATGTATAAAAAGAAAATGACCAAACTGGAGACTTAGAACTCTAAATAGGTGTTCTAAGTAAGAATCAGTAATTCTCTGTTAAGAATCAAGTCTATGAGAAACTCAGGTCTACTAATTGATTGGCTCTTAAATATTTAGGAAGTTTCATTCAAAAAAGAAAAAGATGAACCAGCCCTAATTTTAGCCTTTCTCAAACTTGTATTGAAACAAATTGGTTCATGAGAGCTACCAGCTTCAGCTCTCTCATTCGTGGTGAGACCTGTGTGTGTGCACATGATGTGGGTCTGTAAGGCCCCAGGGTGTGGCATGGCTGTGAGTAAGCAGTGCACACGTCTCAGGCATTCTCTTCTAGCACTCAGGTACAGAGAGCAGCTAGCTAGGCATCCTGGTGCCTGTTGAAACAGAGGCATTCAAAATAGGTTTGGTCTTTGGGGGGCCCTGCCTTTGCCAAATGTCATTGTGCATTTTTGAGGGCCTTTAAAGTCCAGCTGCTTTTACATTTGCTTTTCTACTCTCAAACAGCTTGTCTTTCCCTGGGAACAAACTGTGTGATGGTTGGGAACTCCTGTGTTGATCCAGCCCCTGTATTCCCATGAGTCACAACACAGCGAGAGAGAGCATGCACGCGCGCGCGCGCACACACACACACACACACACACACACACACACACACACACACACCACTTGTGATCTCACATCTCAAGTTGTCAGTACAAAGAAAGGGACCAGTGTGGTCACTTTGAAATAGGAGACAGCATAATGTCTACTTTAAATAAACATGCCTGAAATTATAAGACACCGTTTGAATGACAAAACTAGATTTTCTAGGTGGCTGTAAGAGGTATGAGTGTAATGGACCATTGTGTAGTATAGCAACTTCTTCTCTTGATACACTGGCGTATGTTTTACTGCTCTGTGAGCCCAGCCACTGTAGTGGCCGCTGTGGTTGGGGGCATAGTGGGTTGCCATTAGTTAGTTCCTGGGACCCATGTGTAACTGTGACACAGTGGTACTCATTGTCCAGATCAACTGCGGGGAGGCCATTCTCTGATAAGGAGGAAGGATGTTTGAGACCCAGCACCAGGGTCTGTTTGCACCTGAGAGCAAAGGCATGGCCGTCCAACCCAGATACATTTGTTCTGCGCTCACTTGCTGGACATCCAAACTCCTATCAGTTGCCTTAGACTTGAGGGTTGTTGGTGTGAAGGTGGAGCAAGGTGTGTGTGGATTAGCATATGTGGAGGATTTCTGTCAGATGAGTGTTTGGACACCCAGCTGATGTCTTTGTCTGCATCGTTAGTCCACATGTGACAAGGAGTCCCACTCTCCTGCACAGGGCTTTTGTCTCCTGACAGTCCTGGGAAGGAAAGATACTTAGAGAGAGCATTTTGTGACTGCTGGTGATTGTATCTGCTGTGTAGATCTTGGTTTCATTACTCTCATATATTTTATCATTTACTGTCTCTCCCAGTTGTCAGAATTATGAACTATATTTTTATTGTGAATGTAGTAAAAATCACAACAGTACCATAATTTTTTGACAGAAGTTGTCTATATAATTTTCAACCTTGTATAAGTTCAAATTCTCAGTTCACAAATTTTGGCATAAATTGTTTTCATAGTTTATAATTTCTTCCTACAAAGTTATCACTAGAAAATGTATATATTTTAATAGTATGTTTTCCTCCAGTTCTTGTTTTCATATTTTTGGAGTTAAAATTATTAGCTGGAAATTTCTTGTTACTTTAAAATGTTGAGAATAATTCAATTTTGAACTTAGGCTGTTTGCTCTGAATTCTTTCATTGCATAGAAAAAGGAATTTGCTGGTGTAAGACCCAAACTTCATATATAAATAAGTAGCCTTTTAAAAAGATTCTGTTCCATGTGCTTATCCAGTTACAAAGCTTAAACTCATGAAGTTTGTATTTTTAGAATGATAAGCAAATGTTTTAAGATAGTTTTTCTTGAAGAACGTTTTTAAATTCTAATCCGATTTCAAATACTCACTCAAGCCTTCATTCCGTGGCTTGGTGGCAAGAAGCAAATGTATTTCTCATCCCACAATAGCGGTTTAGTATCCACATTAAATAGCATGTGGGAAAAACAGCTCTCTTGACCAAACCAAGTTTTTATATCAGACCTTTAAAATTTCAACAGAATTTAAACATTATTTAGATAAAACAATCATGTTACAAAGACGACTTTTAACAGGATCAGGCCACCCACAATGTGGCTATGGTGTGCAAGCCACCCAGTGAGACGAGGTGAGTTTTTCATCTTTGCTTAAAGTATAGTCACTAGACCAGATAATGTAGAGACTTTTTACAAGCAGGTCAGACAGCTGAAAGTAGTTTGTCCTCTCTCTCTCTCTCTCTCTCTCTCTCTCTCTCTCTCTCTCTCTCTCTCT